CAGTTAAACTCCAGCTCAATCCCAGTTCCTGGACTGGAGTCTCTCCCAGTGCTCCCAGTTCCTTTCCCAGTGCCACGTCCTGACTCCCAGTGCTCCCAGTCAGTCCCAGTTTATCCCAGTCCATCCCAGTCCCTCCCAGTTTATCCCAGTCCATCCCAGCAGTCTCACCCTGAGGGCGGGGATATCCTCCACGCGCACCACGAACTCGTCCCTCTCCCTGAAGATGCCCTCTCCCCTCCGCCCCAGTCCCTCCCAGTTTATCCCAGTCCCTCCCAGTCCCTCCCAGTCCATCCCAGCAGTCTCACCCTGAGGGCGGGGATATCCTCCCCGCGCCCCCCGAACTCGTCCCTCTCCCTGAAGATGCCCTCTCCCCCGCTCTCCTCCTCGTCGCTGGTATCCCCGCACACGGCGGCCGTGCCCTGCTTCTGCGCCAGGTGCAGCGGCCGCGCGTCCGGGGTCCCTATGAAGGTCTGGAAGGTCCTGGAAGATCCCCAGGATCCCTGGCAGGTCCCTAGGAACCCATGACAGGTCCTGGCAGGTCTCTATGAACCCCTGGCAGGTCCTGGCAGGTCCCTATGAAGCCCTGGAAGGTCCCCATGAACCCTGGCAGGTCCTGAAAGGTTCCTATAAACCCCTGGAATGTCCCTATGAAGCTCTGGCAGGTCCTGGAAGGTCACCATGAACCCCTGGCAGGTCCTGGAAGGTCTCTATGAAGGTCCTGGAAGATCCCCAGGATCCCTGGCAGGTCCCTAGGAACCCATGACAGGTCCTGGCAGGTCTCTATGAACCCCTGGCAGGTCCTGGCAGGTCCCTATGAAGCCCTGGAAGGTCCCCATGAACCCTGGCAGGTCCTGAAAGGTTCCTATAAACCCCTGGAATGTCCCTATGAAGCTCTGGCAGGTCCTGGAAGGTCACCATGAACCCCTGGCAGGTCCTGGAAGGTCTCTATGAACCCCTGGAAAGTCTCTATGAACCCTGACAGGTCCTGGCAGGTCTCTGCATGTCCCTAGGAGGTCACCATGAACCCCTGGCAGGTCCTGGCAGGTTCCTATGAAGCCCTGGAAGGTCACCATGAAGTCATGGCAGGTCCTGGAAGGTCCTCATGAACCCCTGGAAAGTCTCTATGAACCCTGCAAGGTCCTGGAAGGGTCCTATGAACCCCTGGCAGGTCCTGGCAGGTCACCATGAGCCCCTGCCAGGACCCTATGACCCCCAGAAGGTCCTGGCAGGTCCCTATGAACCTCTGGAAGATCTCTACAAGCCCCTGGCAGGTCCTGGAAGGTCTCTATGAACCCCTGGAAGGTCCCTGTGAACACCTGGAGGCTCTCCATAGGTCCTGGCAGGTCCCTACATTTCCCTGGAGGCTCTCCATAGGTCCTGGAAAGTCTATATGAACCCACAGCAGGTCCTGGAAGGTCCCTATGAACTCCAGGAAGGTCCTGGCAGGTCTCTATGAACTCCTGGATGGTTCTGGAAGATCTTTAGGAACACCTGGAAGGTCCTGGCAGCTTCCTATGAATGCCTGGATCCTCTCTATGGATTCTGGCAGGTCCTGGAATGTCCCTATGAGCCCCTGGCAGGTCCTGGAAGGTCCCTATAAGCCCCTGGAAGGTCTCTAAAAGCCCTGTCAGGTCCTGTCAGGTGTGTGTCTCTCACCTGGCGCCTCGGGGGGCTCCCTGCGCTCGGGGGGCTCGTCCAGGGCGGAGATGGCCGAGCTGATGCTCTTCTGCAGGTCCTGGTTCTTGCTGACCGAGTCCTCCTCGTCGCTGGAGAACGAGGGCAGCGTCTCCAGGTTCCTCTTGAGCTCCTCGTCCAGGCGCTTGCAGGGCGAAGGGCACGCCATCACCAGCCCCTCGCCCTCGCCCCCCTCCAGGGACCCCCCCAGGGGGAAGCTCGGGGGCGCCCCCAGCTTGGGGGGCTTGGAGGGGCTGGGGGGCAGCGGCTGCCGCTTGCCGGCCTTCAGGAAGTCCAGGAAGGAGGCCATGAAGCCCGACTTCATCTCGGGCTGCTTCTCCTCCGCCTCGCGCAGCTTCTGCTTGGCGCGGCTCGGCGACGGCTCGGCGGGGGGCTCCGGGACCCCCGGGAACGGGCCGGGGGCGCTGCAGGGCGCAGGGGGGGGGTCCGCCTTGGACACGGCCAGCTTGATCTGCGGGAGAGAAAGGGGAGCTGGGTTGTACTGGTTTGGACTGGTTTGTATTGGTTTGGACTGGGAGACCTTGACCCAACCATCACCCCCCCCAGACACAGCCAGCTTGATCTGGGGGAGAGAAAGGGGTTATACTGGGTTATACTGGTTTGGACTGGGTTGTACTGGTTTGGGCTGGTTTGTATTGGTTTGGACTCGGAGACCTTGACCCAACCATCACCCCCCCCAGACACAGCCAGCTTGATCTGGGGGAGAGAAAGGGGTTATACTGGGTTATACTGGTTTGGACTGGGTTGTACTGGTTTGGGCTGGTTTGTATTGGTTTGGACTCGGAGACCTTGACCCAACCATCACCCCCCCCAGACACAGCCAGCTTGATCTGGGGGAGAGAAAGGGGTTATACTGGGTTATACTGGTTTGGACTGGGTTGTACTGGTTTGGGCTGGTTTGTATTGGTTTGGACTCGGAGACCTTGACCCAACCATCACCCCCCCCAGACACAGCCAGCTTGATCTGGGGGAGAGAAAGGGGTTATACTGGGTTATACTGGTTTGGACTGGGTTGTACTGGTTTGGGCTGGTTTGTATTGGTTTGGACTCGGAGACCTTGACCCAACCATCACCCCCCCCAGACACAGCCAGCTTGATCTGGGGGAGAGAAAGGGGTTATACTGGGTTATACTGGTTTGGACTGGGTTGTACTGGTTTGGGCTGGTTTGTATTGGTTTGGACTCGGAGACCTTGACCCAACCATCACCCCCCCCAGACACAGCCAGCTTGATCTGGGGGAGAGAAAGGGGTTATACTGGGTTATACTGGTTTGGACTGGGTTGTACTGGTTTGGGCTGGTTTGTATTGGTTTGGACTCGGAGACCTTGACCCAACCATCACCCCCCCCAGACACAGCCAGCTTGATCTGGGGGAGAGAGAAAGGGGTGCTGGGTTGTACTGGTTTGTACTGGTTTGGACTGGGTTGTACTGGTTTGTACTGGGAGACCCTGATCCAGCCATCCCTGACCACCCCCAGACACGGCCAGCTTGATCTGCGGGGAGAGAAAGGGGAACTGGGTTATACTGGTTTGGACTGGGAGACCCTGATCCAACCATCACTGACACCCCCGGACACAGACAGCTTGATCTGTGGGGACACAAAGGGCAACTGGGTTGTACTGGGTTATACTGGTTTGTACTGGTTTGTACTGGGAGACCCTGATCCGTCCCTGACCCCCACAGACACAGCCAGCTTGATCTGCGGGAGAGAAAGGGGAACTGGTTGGACTGGTTTGGACTGGTTTGTACTGGTTTGTACTGGGACACCCTGATCCAACCATCACTGACCCCCCAGACACAGCCAGCTTCATCTGTGGGGACACAAAGGGCAACTGGTTTGTAATGGGTTGTACTGGTTTGTACTGGGTTGTACTGGTTTGTACTGGTTTGGACTGGTTTGTACTGGTTTGTACTGGTTTATACTGGTTTGTACTGGGAGACCTTGATCTATCTCTGACCCCTAACAGACACAGCCAGCTTGATCTGAGAGGAGAGAGAGGGGTGGTGGTTTGTACTGGTTTGTACTGGTTTATACTGGTTTGTACTGGGAGACCTTGATCTATCTCTGACCCCTAACAGACACTCCCAGTTTGATCTGGGGGTGTCACTGGTTCATACTGGTTTGTACTGGGATACCCTGACCTCCCCCATGGACACACCCACTTTGATCAGGGGGGCTCAGGAGGCTCCAGTACGGACCAGTATAGACCAGTATGGACCAGTACGGACCAGTACAGACCAGTACAGACCAGCACGGACCAGTATGGACCAGTACGGACCAGTAGGGACCAGTAGGGACCTGTATGGACCAGTACAGACCAGTATGGACCAGTACGGACTGTATGGACCAGTACAGACCAGTATGGACCAGTACGGACCCGTATGGACCAGTACAGACCAGTATGGACCAGTACGGACCCGTATGGACCAGTACAGACCTGTATGGACCAGTATGGACCAGTACGGACTGTATGGACCAGTATGGACCAGTACAGACCAGTACGGACCAGTAACCCGCAGTGGCCCTTCCGCGACCTCCCTTGGACTCTCCCATTTTGATCTGGGGGGGTGGAACCCCAATTTTGGGGCATTTTGGGTCAATTTGGGGCACACCAAACCCCCTCAAACACCCCCAAACCCCAAATTTGGGCCATTTTGGGTCAATTTGCAGCACCCCAAACCCCCCCAAATCCCCAATTTGGTCACTTCAGGCCCATCCCAAACCCCAAATCCCAATTTTGGGTCACTTCAGGCCCATCCCAGAACCCCCAAACCCCAATTTCGGTCACTCAGGCACATCCCGAGCACCCCAATTTTGGTCTCTTCAGGTCCATCCCAAACCCCAAACCCCAATTTTGGGTCATTTTAGGACCGTTTGGTGCAAACCAAACCCCAAACCACTCCCCAAACCCCAATTCTGGGTCTCTTTAGGCCCATCCCAAACACCCCAAACCCCAATTTTGGTCACTTTAGGACCATTTAGAGCACCCAAACCCCAATTTTGGGTCACTTCAGGCCCATCCCAAACGCCAATTTTGGGTCACTTCAGGCCCATTCCAAGCACTCAAACCCCAGTTTTGGGTCATTTTAGGACTGTTTGGAGCAAACCAAACCCCAAACCACTCCCTAAACCCCAATTTCGGTCACTCCAGCCCATCCCAAACCCCCCAAACCCCAATTTCGGTCACTCAGGCCCATCCCAAACCCCAAACCCCAATTTTGGGTCACTCAGGCCCATCCCAGACCCCCCCAAACCCCAATTCTGGGTCACTTCAGGCCCATCCCAAACACCCCAAACTCCAATTTTGGGTCATTTTAGACCCATTCCAAGCACCCAAACCCCAATTTTGGGTCACTTCAGGCCCATCCCAAACGCCAATTTTGGGTCACTTCAGGCCCATTCCAAGCACTCAAACCCCAGTTTTGGGTCATTTTAGGACTGTTTGGAGCAAACCAAACCCCAAACCACTCCCTAAACCCCAATTTCGGTCACTCCAGCCCATCCCAAACCCCCCAAACCCCAATCCTGGGTCACTCCGGCCCATCCCAAACCCCAATTTCGGTCACTCAGACCCACCCCAAGCCCCAATTTCGGTCACTCCGGCCCATCCCAAACCCCAATTTCGGTCACTCAGACCCATCCCAAACCCCAATTTCGGTCACTCAGACCCATCCCAAACCCCAATTTCGGTCACTCAGACCCATCCCAAACCCCAATTTCGGTCACTCAGACCCACCCCAAACCCCAATTTCGGTCACTCCGGCCCACCCCAAACCCCAATTTCGGTCACTCAGACCCACCCCAAACCCCAATTTTGGGTCACTCAGACCCACCCCAAACCCCAGCCCCCAATCTGGGTCACCCCGGCCCGTCCCGGCGCTCACCTTGAGCGGCCGCAGCGGCTCCATCCCCTCCCCGTCCTCTCCGCCCTTCTTGCCCCGGCCCCGGCCGCGGCCCCGCGGTCTCTTGGCTCCCTCGGGGAAGCCGGGCGGCTCCAGGGGCCGGATCCTCGGCCTGCCCCGGGGCCGGGGGGGCCCTTCCCGCTTGGGCTTGGTGGGTTTGCGGCCGCGCTTCTTGGGAGCGGGGTGGGCGCCGGGGTGCGGGCAGAAATCGATGTCGCCCATGGGGGTGAGCGGCGGGCGGCGGCAGCTGGAGATCAGGTCGGGCAGCAGGTCCGGGAGCCGCCGCGAGTTCAGGCGGATGTCGGCGGGCACGTCGGCCTTATCTTCATCATCCTCGAACTCGTACTCCTGCGCGTAGGTTTTTTTGGGGGGTGGGAAGGGGTCCCGCTTGCGGAGCAGGTGGAAGGAGGAAGTTTTCAGCAGCTTTTTGGGTTTGGAGGAGCAGAACAGAGGGGTGCTGAGGGGCGGAGGAGGGGGTTTGGGACCCCCGTCGCCCGTGCTCTGGATCAAGCCCAGCGGCTCCGCGTTCACCGTGGAGGGTAACTCGTGTTTGGGGGGCTCCAGCCCCAGCTGGGGGGGGTCCCCGGCAGCCCCCCCGTCCTGCGGGCAGAACGAGGGGTAGCTCTGCCCCATATCGTACGGAGGGGGCGGCTTCATCCCCTCGGGCCGCGCCTCCAGCCCGGCCGCGTTGGCGTTGCCTTCCTCCTCCTCCTCCTCGGCGGGCTTGGGGAAATCCTCGGGCGGGGGTCCGAACATGTCCTCCATGCCGGGGAAGAAGCCGCGGTCCTCGTCCTGCAGCAGCGCGTCCGGGAAGCAGATGGACGTGAGGGGCACGAACCGCCCCTTGCCCCCCGCGGGGCTCCCCCCTTCCGAAAACTGGTCCTTGGCCTCGGGGGGCACGGCCGGGACCCCCCCCTCGGGGTCCAGCAGGTGCCCGGGCGGGCCCTGCACCCCCGCGCTCTGCCCCAGGTGCGGTTCCAAGCCCAAGGGGGGCTCCAAGAAGTCCTGGATCTCCTGGGGAGGGGGCAACACCTCCATGGAGTCGGGGGGCAGCGGCGGCGGGGCCTGGGGGTCCAGCCCTTGCGAGCGCACCTGGTGCAGGTGAGCTTCCAGCAGCAGCTGCGGGGAGGGGGCGGCCGGAGGGCTTGCGAGCGCACCTGGTGCAGGTGAGCTTCACCTCCATGGAGTCGGGGGGCAGCGGCGGCGGGGCCTGGGGGTCCAGCCCTTGCGAGCGCACCTGGTGCAGGTGAGCTTCCAGCAGCAGCTGCGGGGAGGGGGCGGCCGGAGGGGGGACT